AATACATCGCTTTCTAATAGCTGTTTATTCTGTTCTGAAAATCATACGTCAGAATCATGTCAAAAGACTGTGCCAGAAAAAAAAAGGAAGCGTTAAAGCAAAGTAGAAATTGTTTCGTGCGTCTTAAAAGCTATAATTTAGCGAGGAACTGAATCGAAACTACTTGTGGTATATGTGATCGACGACATCATACATTGATACACTCTGACAAATAAATGCATCAGACAAGAGGCCCGTCTAAGGGGAAGTAGTCTCTTCTGTTTCCAGTAAATAACTCATTTTTTCTAACAGTATGAGTGGAAATTTTAAACACAGGCAATTGGCGCCAGCAAAGCGTTCATGCATTGTTTGATTTAGGATCGCAGTGAACATTTATTATGGAGGACATATGTAAGAAATTTAAACTTCCAGTTATTGGAAAAGAAAAAAGAAAAATATTCTCTTTCGGTTGCATGACGTCTGAAGTGCAGAATGTTAAAAAAACCAGCCTCATTTTGTGCAATTTGAAGTATTGATATGAAATAAAAATAGAAGCTTTAATTACTTCTGTCATTAATGGATCACATATTCATTCCCCTAGAAATGAAATAGTTAATCTTATTAAAAAACAGGGCATACAACTTTCTGATGAATGGGGACAAGGGAATAAAATGCTGAAAATTTCTTTGCTGATAGGAGCGGATTAAAACAGTTACGGGTAAGGTTCTCAGACTGTCTAATTCTTCAGTAGTGGTTGAAACAAAATTGGGTTGGGCGATTAGTGAAACAGGGCTTATGGAATTCCCCCAACTAATGTGAATACTATGAAGGTTGTGGTTCATAATAATAAAGATACACAGAAAGAATCACTGTCTAGTTTCCTGAAAAATCTCTGGGATAAATTATGATTCGGATAAGGAAAATTAGAAGATAATTTAGTTTTCGATAATTTCAAAAGGTCTGTGAAATTTGAAAACAATCGTTATGTTGTCTGCCTTCCCTGGAATCATAATTCAAATGAGCTTGGAAATAATCTGGAGATTGCTAAAATTAGATTTAAGAGCTTAAGTCGTAGATTTCAAAATAATCAACAGTTCTATGATAAATATCACAAAGTAATTGATAAATACTTAAATGAAAGAATCATCGAATATACTAACATTGAAATTCGACCAAATACTTATTTTATGCCACATTATAAGAGAAATCAAGGAAACTTCAAAACTCCGTGTGGTTTTTGACACTTCGTCACATGCGGAGCATTGTTTGCCATTAAATAACTGTTACATTCAGGTCCTAAGATGTGTCCAGACATACTGGAATTGCTCCTTAAGTTCCGTTAAAATCGAATTGCGTTTACAGCTGTCATCGAACAAGCATTCTTGCAGATTTCTCTTGCTGATGAAGACAGAAATGCAGTCAAGTTTCTAAGGAACGATGGAGAATTAAATGTAACTAAAATAAAGGCTTTTCGTATGACAAAGGTAATTTTTGGAGCAACATCTAGTCCGTTTCTTCTTAGACCAACTCTTAATGTACACGCTGACAAATACAAGTCACAGTATTCGAATGTATTTTCCATGCTAACTGAAAATATGTATGTTAATGACAGATGAAGAATCTGAAGCATTCAAGGAATCGGATCATATTAAGCACATACTGAAAGAAAGGAGATTTAACATGAAGAAGTGGAAAACGAATGAAACGAATCTACAAAAGGTATGGAATGAAGAAGATTTTTCACAAGATTCGACTTGTTTTAAAATATTGGGGTACGTATGGAATAGGTCAAATGATACATTTTTGATATAAATTGAAGATTTGCCAAAAGGATAGATAACATACTTACTAAGAGGAAAATCTTGAGATTTATAGGACATTTCTTTGATCTACTAGGGTTTTTAAATCCATACACCATTCGAGCTAGGATTTTTACTGCAAGATTTATGGGAACATAAGATAGCATGGGACACTGAAATACCAGAAAATCTCAGAAAGAATTGGCAAAGCTTATGTGATGAATTAGCTCATATTTCTAGTTTGGAAATACCAAGACATCAGTTTGCAGGTGCTGCGAAAAGGGATATAAAGGATGGTTTACAGTTATACCGTTTCACAGATGTGAGTCAGAAGGCCTGTGGGGCTGTTCTGTATTTTCGTTATTCCAAAAATGGAGCCATTCATACAAGCTTCATTACACCAAAATCATGAGTAGCAACTTTTAAAAAATTATCACTTCCCAGATTGGAATTGATGGGTGCTTTGATAGGCTCTCGCTTATCAAAATACATCCTAAAGAAACTTCGGGACATTAATTTAATTGTATATATGTGGATCTGATTCTAGTATAATTTTACATTGGATTCAAAGTGATGTGAAAAGATGGAAGTCATTCATTTAGAACAGAGTGAAGGAAATACAGAAGAATTCAGATGTCTTGAACTGGAGATATACGCCCGGTGAAAATAATCCAGCTGATTTGCTAACTAGAGGTGAAAATGTCAAACATCTGAAGCAGAATACATATGGTGGGAAGGGCCCACGTGGTTAAAAGAAGAAATGGAACACTGGCCAAAACCCATTTAGTTCCAGAGAGGACATTAAAGATTCCAATACGGAACTAAGAAAAACATCGAAGGAAATTTTCGTAAATTCATGCATTTCCAAGCCTTTCGAATATTTATTTAAAGCCCAAAACTAAAGTAATTTACACTGAATTACTGCTAAGTGCTTAAGTTCATCAAAAATGTTAAAAATACACCAAAATTATCAGGATGTTTGCACGTTTTCGAATTGGAAGTGGCAGAAACTTATTGAATCAAACGTGTTCAGGAGCGAAATTTCACAAATGAAATACAGGCATTGAAGAACAACGAAGAATTAAGTTCAAAATCAAAACTGAAGTCCCTCAATCCATTTGTAGATGAAAGTGGTGTAATTCGTGTTGGTGGACAATTAGAAAATTCAAATTTGGATTACAAACAAGCACATCCAATCATTTTGCCTGATAAAGATCATTTGACTGATCTAATTATTCTTCACAGTCATCAGGTGGTAGGGCTCGGAGGAATAGCAGATACTTTAAATCAAATAATAGATAAGTTTTGGTTGCTGAAGGCTCGTAGGAAAATTAAATGTGTTCTGTACAACTGCAATGTCTGCAAAATATTTCGAACAAAATCTGTCATGCAAGATATGGCACCTCTCACACCAGGCAGATGAAGAGAAGCCTTTCCATTTGAGAACTCCGGAATAGATTATGCGGGTCCACCGTTCATCAAAAGTGAAAGAGACCTGTGTTTTACTGTTTACCTGTGCTGTAACTAGAGCCGTGCATTTAGAACTTACAGCTGACCTTTCCACAGAAAAATTTTTGCTTGCATTTAGACGGTTCATAGCGAGAACAGGTTTGTGCCGAATAGTGTATACTGATAATGCCAAAACATTTAAAAGAGCGAAAAAAGAATTAGAGCTATTGAACAAGGTAATGAAAAACAAAAAAAGTTCAAGACAGTTCTCTAAGCAAGGAATCAAATGGAAATTTATAATTGAGAGGGTGGCATGGTGGGGAGGCTTTTGGGAGCGTATGGTTCAGTCTCTGGAGGCTCTTCTGAAGAAAATCCTAAGCAAATCATCCTTGACATTCAGGGAATCAGAGACAATCATAACAGAAGTGGAAGCGATATTGAACTCGACCTTTAACATTGACATACTCGGATCTAGGAGAGCCAGAATCTTTGACCACTGGTCACTTCTTGATAGGAAGACGGTTACTATCATTGCTGCAAGGAAGCTCTAAATTAACTTCAACAAAGGAAAGCCTTACACGTCAATTTAGACATGACAAATACTAGTTGAAAGAATCTGGAGAAAATGGAGACAGTATTATTTGATGAATTTAAAATCTGCTCATCATTCCAAACTGGTGAAAACAGAAACCTTTTGAAGAAAGGAATTATTGCATTATTGCGTCAAGATAAAATTCCAAGGCTAATGTGGAAGATGGGCATGATAATGGAGATCTTTCCAGGAAGAGATGGCAAGGTGAGAGCCTGTGCTGTCCGCTTGCCCAGTGGCCATACGATTAAAAGACCAGTGCAACTACTATATCAAGTGGAGCTGGAATGTAATAAGGACAATTACAGCAATTGTCCTTCCGGGCCGGAGGATGTTGCAACTCTTGCTGAAATCCGATGGCTGAGTGACATCATCTCGAAACTATGAACTCTCGCAGGAGATCGGACGAGAACTCGGAACGGAGAAGTCGCACGCTGCGTCCTGCCAAAATTAAAATCCTTTTCATTACATAAATATTCTGTAACTCGTTTATGTCTTCATTAAAATATTTTTATGTAAAGAATGTATTTATCATTTATGGATTATTCCTTTCAAAGGATTCCAGATAGAGATGCATAGAAGACATCAATTTCAACCAGTGGCCCTGGCAGAACCCATTGGGACAAGGTAAGCAGTTTTGTTTTACCTTGATTAATTAATTAGAAGTGTAAATAATGATAATGATAAGGAAATAAATAATAATAATGCATGGCATTGGTACTTCTGATTCAATCTGATATATGGTTAATAATACTCACTTTCTAGTGGATATTCAGTTATTAATGATAACTTAATGTATGTCAAGGGGGGAAAATTACAAATAATTTATAATATAAATTTTAACACATATTAAAATACATAGTTAGATATATTTGTTTTGCTAAAATAATACAGATAGCTAAAGCACTATAAAAGAAGATAAATCAATTAACTTACTTTCTAAGTCACATGATGTAAAAAAAGTATTTATTTATTGTGAAAGACTGCTAGCAACTCTGCATATTTAAACTGAATAGCTAATGAATAATGCCATTTTTACTTTTGCTTTTATATGACATCCTAAATTTCAGTTGTAATAAATTTTTATTTCGAAAAATAGGAATTAGTCTAAACATGAAGAGGAACTAGAGATTAACAATAAATATTGAAAATATAGTTACAAAAATCTTAAAATATTTACTCACAGTGCCCCGAATAACATCTTTAACAGGAGGGCAAGCATTAGTTTTAACGGAGTGAAAACCTAATATAAACTTAGATCCCTCTTTTTTTTCTGTTTGTAGAATGCAAAAATCCTGAACTTCTTTGTGAAGAAGGGTTACAGACTCATTACACATATGGACTAAAAAGAAATAATTTTAATTAGAAGAGAAAAATTATATCAAAAATTTATTTTTAAAAAATAATATTTGTTATGAAGTAAACTATTTGAAACATAAGTAGAATTTCACTGTTTTTAAATATTTGAGACATACAAAAGGAATGCAAAAAAATAAGTTTTCTTATAACTGATGCCTATTATAATAACTGCTAATTATATCAGCTATTCAATTATAATGATTAGTAAAAAAAGTTCTCAGATGATGAAAGCACTTTAAATCCATTGTGCTTATTATTATTATTAATGCACATTACAACATTTTTTTTATTTAAAGGACATGATGGGTCATTACAACAAGCATTGATTGCATTTACATCTTTTCAACAATATATTCAAACATATACTGGAAACAAATCCAACCAAACAGATATTCTCATGAAAAGTATAATATGAAATTGAACACTTCTAAATGAATGATTTTATTAACTGAATTAATCAAATTAGTTCTGCCAAATGCATGAGAATATAAACATGTTTTTCTAGTAAAGAGTTATCTTTGCTTCAGTTTCACAAATAAAAATGGAAAAAATATGTATATATTATTTTAAGACACAAAAACATGAAAGAAAAAAATTTTTTATTTTTGCCTAGTTATTACATGCTTTTTATATTATATTAAACTTCAATGAGTAACATTTTACAGTTATTATATGTTGCATTACAAAAAGGTTACATAATTAAATCTTGCTCAAACAACTGGTAGAAAAAATATTTAAAACTTGAGAACTATGGCTTTCAGATCTTGAGAACTATGGTTACCCTAAAGATAACACATTAGTGGCCTTCTGAAGGAAAAACGGCTTGTATTCAGTTAAGTATAGGAAAAACTATGGAAACTCCCATGCAACAAGCCTGCTTCGTGGGATTTGAACCTGGGTCAAATTACCAGTGTTCAGTATTTTTTAACCACTCAGTTGCTGGGTGAGTGAAATTCCAATTACGAAAATTTACCATTTTCTTCATTTTTTTGTGGATGTTGCATTAACATAGCATTTACAAAATTAGAATGAGATACATGTAATTTAAAATATAATAAATCTTGTAAAATAAACACATTTTTTCTTTGCTTTGCTATAATTTTGCAAAGGAAAAAGTTGAGAAATTTTTCAAAGGTTTGTGAACTCTGATCTTGTATAATTTAGCAGCTTCTTAAATAAGAATATGCTTATACTGTGTCGTTTTATGTTATTAAAATCAATGAATAATTTTATTAATTTTAACTTATGTAATATTAAGCTAATCTTAATTTTACAGAATTTAGAAAGAGCAAATGTCTAGACATTGGTAAATTAGATACTCCGAGTGTCACAGCAATTGACATGTGTGTAAAACAGCAGAGAAGTTCAATCATAGAGTTATTTATAAAACTACTCTTTAGTTTAGGAAATTTAATCTATTCCTCTTCACAGCTGATTCACACCAATCAATGCAGTATACTTCAATTTTTGAATTTGTTATTCAAATGACTGATTATGAGGGAATACGATTAAGGCAAATAAAAAATTCTAGTTAAATTAATTTCTGAAAAATGACCAACAAGAACTTGCTTATGGCCTCATTCATGACATACACATTAAATGAGTCCTTACTTAACATGCGACTGCTATATTTAATAAGCCCGTAACTGTAAAATCTGGTAAATAAAGTTGTATTCTCTTCATTGATATCTGAATCAATCCTTATGGTATGCACCCCTCATTACAAAATCCTGGTAGATCACTAAAACCGGCCAATACTGTCTAAAGGGAAAAAAGAAGCAATTAGGCAAGAATTCTTTCAGTTGCCCATCATTTTCCAAATTTTATTTCTCTAATAATTTTTTGTTATTACAGAAGTTAAAACGATGAAGCATTGTGCTCAACTGACTATTAGGCACAACACAAACAACTTCTAATATCATTTGCCAAAGAAAATACTGATATTTAGAGGATTAAAAACTGATAATTTTAATTTGCAAAGTAAAATCAAGCTCTGGATGCTGATCGCAACTCTATTCTGATGATCTCAGTGCTGTGAAGACCCCCAGCAGAATGACGTAAATTAAGCTTAATGTTATACAAAAATAGATGAAATTAATATGAAAATATTATGGAGAAATGTTTAATATTTTCTAATATTTGAACTTAGAAAAAAAAAGGGGGGAGCAGTACAGAGATCTGTGATGAATTTGGAATCAAGATGATGGAAGTATTTGATGTCTGCTTTCATTTCATATGAAGATAATTATTTTAGTTTGTACAGCATAGTTAGTACAGAAACCATATAGTAAAAAATACAAAATATACAACAATATAAATGGAATTTATTCAAAGCTTAAAATGTATAAATAAAATAACATAGGACAGAGATTTGACTTGAAAAGAAGCTATCTGGACAGAAATGATCAAGTTATTTTTTTAAAAACAAAACAGAAAATCTGCTCATTAATAATAACAATTAGCACAAACAAAGTCACCCAGATGGTATAGTGATTAGGGAAAGGGGCCGGGTTCGAATTCTGGAGAAGACATGGATGTTTGTAAATGTATAGTGTCGGTGCAGCATAGCAGTATTCTAAATATGTGGGAGACCCCAGTATCCCCCCGGCTGCTCTCCTTGAAAATTGGGGGTGGAAATAGAAGACCAACCTCTCTTTGGAGTAGGCTCTGGCAACCATTGTTTTATGTAATATGGACAAAACAACAACAGTACAAAGCAAATCTTGGTTAAAAATCTCAGTATACTTAAAATGTTGCATGGATTAAGAAAGATTAGCAGGGAAAGAAAGCCATACAATAGTGGAAAATTAATACATTTATATTAAAAAATAATTAAGTGTACAATGTCATATGAGCTAGCAAAAAAACTTTCAGTATAATTAATGTGCTAACTGATAATTTGAATAAAAGACTCGTAAAAAACAATTGAAAGTCTGAGCAGGGGGGAAAATAGGGAGGTGGATATTTCAATCAAAAAATAAACATAAACCTGGGGGGGGGAGCGAATACAGCTTCACATAAATAAATGCAGAATAATTCAGATCTTCATGGAATGATAAGTGTAATATTTGAAACAGATGAAAAAGACATGATATGCCAAATTTGTGAGATTAAATTTAACAACAAATATAGCTATCTAGGTTTTGGTGTTTATGATATTGAAATCAACATTTTAAAATTTGATGAAATATTCAGATAATGTCTTAAAATATCTTTATAATTTAGCAAACATATTATGAAAAATATTTAAATAAAATATGAAGAATTATGAAAGTAACATTTAGAATTCCAACTGATGTATTAAACATTCTTAAGAACTTCTGTCTCTGGATTATATTGTGCTCTTTAACACAAAAGATATGTAAATGTAAAAGAAGTTTTAAAAAGTTTTCTTTCAAATAAAATTCAGGAAGCTATTAAAAAACTAGAAGAAAAATATACAATTATGTTTTTTAGATTCAAGGCAAGCAGTTACTTAAATTTCTCTTAATTTGAGGTGGTAATACTCTTTGTGGTAAACACCAAAGTTTTTTTATAATGATGAATACATTTTGATAAATTAGAAATACAGTCAAAAGTCGTTAATCCGAACTCGTCGGGACTTCGGCGATTCCGGATTATCGATTTTTCCGAATTATAGATCATCAGTTCAAACCTGATAAGATGGCATGAAGAAATTACAAAATTAAAAATATGGAACCATAATTTATGAAATAAAGAACAATTATGATATAAAGGGTATCAAAATTTACAAAAAGAAAAAGCTTAATATTTGTTTACTTTATTAAACATTTCTTTCAATGTAAGTAGTTTAAGTTGCTTCGTTTCATGTGATAATACTTTCTCTTTAATTCTATTAAACAGACATAATTTCTTGTTTAGTTACAAAGTTCCGCTGTTCAAGTCCTATAATTGCTGTGTCGAGAATACCGACTAATTTGTCAATCAAAATTTTTTCGTTTTCAATAACCTCTGTGTCACTTTCTTCACTATCAGAAGCGAAGTATAATGACGAGGAACTTGATTTAAATCATATCAAAGACGGAGTACATCGAGATAAAATACTACATTCAGTAAGGAATTATAAGCCAAATAAAATAAAAGCATCTGCTCTGAAGATAAGGATAGTGCTGACAGATCAACTTCCAATTCATTAAGCGCCGTGGCGTTTTCCCTCCCCCCTCCGCCGCAGAGCAGCGTGAAATTGATAAACAGGTTTCGGATTTCGAAACATACTTTCGCTTTGTAGATCCTTTACATATTAGTAAATATATATCGGAAATTCTATTTGACATAATCGAAAGTTCTAGCTTACTTTTATAAAATTGCTCTAACAGTCTGCAAAAAATATTAAGCCGGATTCAATTCGAAGATTAAGGAACAACGCAATCTGCAACATTAACTGAATTAGATAATTTTAGCTTTAGCTTATACCGTCTGTTATACGTTAGACGCACATGCGTAAACGTATTATGCACATATGCACACACATATTCGCAGCCGTAAAGGTCTTGCGCGCATGCGCAGAAAGTTTGTAGCTTTGAGGTCCGGATTATAGATCATTCCGGATTATGGGTGTCCGAATTAACGACTTTTGACTGTACTTCCATCAACTCTGAAAGTTTACCTGTGCCTCAGAATTAGAAGAAAATTTCTATAAAATACTATTTAGCTGCATTTCAAATATAAAAGTATCGGTCATTTTATTTACAAGAACAGCTATTATTTTATTCAAAGCTACCTCTAAATGTATTCTTAAATTGAACAGTTTATAGCTAAATTTGAGATTTAATGACTAAAGAGAGAAGAATACCAAAGAGTGGATTTAAGGATTCATGACATCAGAATATTATGCAATTCATTAAATCTCAGGCTATCCATCATAAAAGCAACATGAATTGGGTGCTTTCTTTGCTTATTCAGCAGCAAGATGTAGCCTACAATATGCAACTCATTTAATTATAGGTTTAAAAATAGAAATAATGGTGTACATACTTAACTTCTGTCCATGAGGATACTCATGCAAAACAGTTATTCGCTGCCAAAAAGAAAAGAGAATAAAATGTATGCATAAAATTGTGATCTGAAAGCAACAATATTTAAAATTATATATATATATACATAAAGGGGGGGAAGAGAGAGAGAGAGAGAGCTATAAAATGTTACCAAAATAATAATAATAAAAAAGGTATTCTTTCATTTGTTTTAGAGTAATATACTAACTGCTAATTCCAAAATGCATAAAACAGGGTATTCATGATAGGGTACAATAAGGATTAAATAATTTTTATAAACAACCATAATATATAGAATAGCATTTCATTTAACATGCAGCAAAGAGAATATGGCAATAATGAACGATATATCAGCCGCTACTGATAAAGTAATGATGCTGTGAAGCAAAATAATTTTTCACACATTTGATATAAGGAAGCAAATGAGTAAGGCTATGGAAAATCCATATACAGTCAAAAGTCGTTAATTCGGACACCCATAATCCGGACCTCAAAGCTAAAAACTTTCTGCGCATGCGCCACGTTGACACATGCGCACAGGCGTTTACGTGTGTGCTTAAGACTTTTACGACTGCGCATATGCGTGTGTGCAAGCGCAGAAAACGTTTTCGCGTGCGCGTTTAATGTATAATGGACTATATAAGCTAAAATTATCTATTTCAGTTAATGTTGATGATTGCATTGTTCCTTAATCTTTGAATTGGATGCAGCTTATTATTTTTTGCACACTGTAAGAGCAATGTTATAAAAGTAAATGAACATTCGTTCTATTTGACATAACTTTCGATTATGTCAAATAGAATTTCCGATGCTGGAGCTCCCAAAGGATCTACAAAACGAAAGTATGTTTCGATGTCCATCAAACAAAAAGTGGAATTGCTGCAAAAAATGGATAAAGATATGAAGAAGGTGACAGAGAGGTTAGTGAAAACTAAAAAATTTTGATTGACAAGTTAGTCGGTATTCTCGACACAGCAATTACGGGACTTAAACAGCGGAACTTTTTAACTGAACAGGAAATTATGTCTGTTTATAGAATTAAAGAGAAAGTATTATCACATAAAACAAAGAAACTTAAACAACTTATATTGAAATAAATGTTTAATAAAGTAAACAAATAAATATTAAGGTTTTTTTTTTTTTTTTTTTTTTTTTTTTTTTTTGTAAATTTTGATACCCTTTAGATCATAATTGTTCTTTATTTCATAAATTACGGTTTCATATTTTTTATTTTAGAATTTCTGCATGCCATCTTACAAGATTTAAACTGATGATCTATAATACGGAAAAATCAATAATCCGGAATCGCGGAAGTTCCGACAAGTCCGGATTAACGACTTTTGACTGTACTACATAACCTACATTAAACATAATATTCAGTATTATTTTGCTGTACTACAATAATGAAAACAAAATAGAAAAGATTTATTAAATAATATATTTGGAAAAGAAATCAGTGCTGTATAATTAAGATCAGTAGTTTTAAATTTTTATAATGGCTGGAACAAATTTTATTTTAAAACAATATATTAAAAATACCAAGAAAAAACCAGTACTGTGTAATTAAGATCAGATGTTTTAAATTCTTATAACAGCTAGAACAAATTTTAATCATGTTGCTGTTTTCAGATTTTTATTTTTAAACTGGGAAAAGTATTAACTGTGAATTCAAGAGGCTGAAATTTAGAAAATTTTCAGAATCCTGAAAATGTATTAAAATTAAATGTTTGTGCTTCATATTTTTATAATAAAACTTTGATAACTATTATGTTAAAATAAATAATTCAGTACAAAGTTTGAAAACTTGACATCCTATATCCGGATGCCTGTGGATCACAAGCAAAACTATAATAATAAGAATCCTCCCCTCATTACAAAATCTACGAATGGATGAAAATAATACTCAATGAGAACAAGCACATGAGCCATTAATTCGATTTTCTCCTGACTAAAAGAGATTCCTGCATGTCATTTTCAAACACCTGCTGGCTAGGGAATTTCCCTGTGGCCAATGACAATATGTTGACTGATGTCATGCTGATGTTGGTTGGAATCATATTTTTGGCCTTTGAGAATTTGTGTGGGAAATTAGCGCTTTTTTAAACAATAACTGTACTAAAAAATCAGCCAAGCCCCAAGTTGCCATGTCTACATGTCATCTTACTAGATTTAAACTGATGATCTAAAATCCAGAAATTCTAGAAACTTGAAATAGCCAAAGTTCCGATGATTCCGGACCTCGGACACTGTACCATGCTTATAGCATAGTTTAAGAAATGACATTTCATTGAATTTCTGTATTTTTGTGATAAACATTTTTACTACATAAATAGAGAAAATATATAAATAAATAGATTTAATTTAACTACATGATTTACAGTACAAAATCCATAATCCGGATATCCATTATCCAGAATGATCTATAATCCGGACCTCAAAGGCCAGAAACTTTTTTTTTTTTTGTATGCTTTACGCATGCGCGTTTAATGTATAATAGACAGTATAAGCTAGGCTAAAATTATCTTTACTGATTCTAAGGCATTTTAGTTAATGTTGCAGATTGCGCTATTCCTTAATCTTCTAATTGGATCTGGCTTATTATTTTTTGCAGACTGTTAGAGCAATTTTATAAAAATTAAGCTTGAACTTTCGATTATGTCAAAAAGAGTTTCCAATTCTGGAGCTGCAAAAGGATCTACACAGCGAAAGCATGTTTTGATGTCTATTAAAAAAAAGTGGAATTGCTACAAAAAATGGATAAAGGCATATCCGTCTCAAAATTATGCGAGGAGTATGACATTGGAAAGTCAACTGTATATGACATAAGCAGAAAGAAATGGAACTTTTTTAATTTTTTGTGGATTCTGACACTCCACTTGCAATGAATAACAGAAAAAGGGTTCGTTATGCTAAAATAGATGATAATGACAAAACGATTATTGAATCGGTCAGACAGCATCACAGCGAGGGTGTGCCATTGAGGGGTCCAATGCTAATGGCTCATGCCAAAATATTTCATGAAGAAATGAACTTAAACACTGAGTGCACATATTCGACAGGTTGGTTAAACCAAATTAAAACCGCCATGGTATAAGACAATAAAAAATTTCAAGTGAAAAAACGTCAGCTGATACTGAAGCTGCTGAATTTGCAGATAAATTCATTGAACCCATTACTAGTGAACAATTATCTCCAGAACAAATTTACAATGCTGATGAAACTGGTCTTTTCTGGCAATATGTACCGCGAAATACCTTGGCAACCTCTACAGTAAAGGCTTCAACTGGTGTCAAAGATTCCAAAGCAAGACTAACAATTTTAGCGTGCACATATGCTGCAGAAATGCACAAGTGCAAACTTTTCGTAATCGGAAAACATGCATGACCTCGAGCACTTACAGGAGTAACAATTTCCCCCGTTATGTATCCTGCAAATAAAAGAGCATGCATTGATGAATGAATGGTTTGAAAATCATTTTATAGCCAAGGCTCGGTGACATTTGAATTCAGTTGGTCTACCTGATGACTCAACAATAGTCCTGATTGTTGACAACTGTTCGGCGCATACTTCACTTAGTTTTAGTGAAAAATAATGTATCCGTATTTCAGCCTATGGATATGGGAGTAGTGCATGCGCTGAAATGCAAATATAAAGTAGCATTTTTAAAATATATGTTAAATTTCTTGAACAATGGCAAGACTATTCAAGACTTTTTGAAAATTTTTAGCATAAAATCTGCTGTGTGGAGCATCACAAGTTCGTGGAAGGATGTGCCTCCAGATATGTTACAAAATGCTTGGCATAATTTATGGCTAGCTACCATATTTCATGGTGAGGATGATAAAGATTATAGCCACGAATTCTAAGGTTTTCGGACATCGCAAACTAAAGGTGAAGTTTTCCAGTTATTGGGTTTTGTAAATAACATGTGGAGAAGCGGTAATAAATGAAGATGATATAACTGAAATTTTTCATTGCGACGACAATGCCCCAATCATCAATCAAGAGACAGCAAAATCTGTAGTATGGTTCTAGATCCAGAAAATATCACTTCCAATAGTTAAGAAAGTGACAGAGAGGTTATTGAAAATGAAAAAAATTTTGATTGACAGATTAGTCGGTATTCTCGACACAGCAATTACAGGACTTGAACAGTGGAACTTTGTAACTGAACAAGAAATTATGTCTGTATAGAATTAAAGAGAAAGGATTAGCACAAAAAACGAAGAAACTTAAACAACTTACATTGAAAGAAATGTTTCAAATAAATATTAAGCATTTTTTTGTAAATTTTGATACCCTTTAGATCATAATTGCTCTTTATTTCATAAATTACGGTTTCATATTTTTAATTGTATAATTTCTGCATGCCATCTTACCAGATTGAAATTGATGATCTATAATCTGGAAAAACCCCTAATTCGAAATCGCCGAAGTACCGATGAGTCCGGATTAAGGACTTTGAACTGTATTAATAAGTTTTATGACAAAATTTCAGATTTTTATGCAGGAAATTCATAAACAAATTTAATATGTGAAAGTTAAGCTACTTACTTGCTATCAAAGACAAAAAATTAAAATGAATCTACTATGTGCAAAATCATATTTAGATAACAGTCAATTATTGAAAATGTTTCTGTGATATTAATTTTGCATTCATTTATAAAGAAATTTTGCTTTTGTAAATAACATGAGCTAATTTTCAAATGCTTCTTAATTTTAATCAATTAATCATCATTATGTAAGATAATGTGATTGGAGTATAATATAATGAGATTTTTTTATGACGTCTAGTATAATAATAATAAAAAGCAGATCTGCTGTAAAAGTGAATTTTGTTCCTGTTAACAGACATTCCTGTATGTCACTTTCAAACACTCACTAAACACACCACTCAATATGAATACATTGACCTGAGCCTAGACACAACTTTGGCTTCGGCCCTTGAGTGGTTGCAGATTGGGGAGTTACCTTTTTTTTATCTGACCTAAACAATAAGTGAAGCTTTAAGACATATTTCGTTAGAGAGCCATGTAGCTCAGATTGGTTTTCTTTTGTTGGAATAGCAATGGGGAATACAGAAAAATTTAGATTCCAAAGAACTTCAGTTAACATAGCATATTATGCTGTTTAACTTTCCAATTTGATCCAGCTCATTATTTTTCCATGAACTATTATTAATACAGCTATCTCATAAAAATTAAAATTTGAATATTTAGTTACCACATATTCCAACATATACAATATTTCAAATGCAGTACGCCAAAGTCCCGACGAGTCTTTAATCCAGACTCATCGGGACTTTGGCGATTCCAGATTAGGTTTTTTTCCGGATTATAGATAATCAATTTAAATCTGGTAAGATGGCATGCAGAAATTATAAAATTAAAAATATGAAACTGTAATTTATGAAATAAAAAGCAATTATGATCTAAAGGGTATCAAAATTTACAAAAAAATAGCTTAATATTTATTTGTTTACTTTATTAAACATTTCTTTCAATACGCGCATGCATAAAGCACACATTACGCATAGTCAAAATTAGAAAATTGCAACCAGAAAACTATTTGATGCGTATTCATGATATTTATAATGACAATAAGGAATTTGATTTAAATCATATCAAAGATGGAGTACATTGAGATGAAATTCTATATTGAGTAAGGAATTATAAGCTGAATAAAATAAAAGTATCTGCCCTAAAGATGAGGATAGTGCTGAAAGATCAACTTACAATTCACTGTGCGCCCCGATGTTCCCCCCCCCCTTGCAGAGCAGCGTGAAATTGATAAACAGATTTCGGAATGGTTAGAGAAACAAAGGATATACATTTATCCTTTTTTTTTTTTTTTTTTTTTTTTTTTTTTTTGCAGCAATTCCACTTTTTGTTTGATGGACATTGAAATATGCTTTCGCTTTGTAGATCCTTCGGCAACACCAGAATTGGAAACTCTTTTTGACATAATCGAAAGTTAAAGCTTACTTTTTATAAAATTGCTCTAACAGTCTGCAAAAAATAATAAGCCAGATCTAATTAGAAGATTAACGAACAATGCAATCTGCAACATTAACTGAAATAGATAATTTCAGCCTAGTTTATACCGTCCGTTATACATTAAACATGCATGCACAGAAAGTTTGTATCTTTGAGGTCCGGATTATAGATCATTCCGGATTATGGATGTCTGGATTAAAGACTTTGTACTGTACATATTATTATGAGTTTTGTACATAAATAATTTTAGAGATATTATATGTAAACTGTAGTATACTTGTATAATGTAACATGAAAGGTCTGGTGAACATAAAGCTTCATCAAAAGATAAGGTTATAGGGACAAGCCCACTTAATATTTATGAAAAAGGCTGTGCCAAATGGGTGATAGTTTTGGTGAATAATGTTTTTCAACAAATCACCAAAAGTTGATAAACCTGGCAGCCATTTGGCGAAATTTTTGTCTAATCCCTATATAACTGTAATTGTATATGCCTTCCAGGAGTTTCAACAAATCAAAGGTTAGGTTTGGAGAAAACTGTAAGACTGAAAAAAGCTTCAGTTACCAGTTTAGTTGAGAGATCACCATGTGAACTTATACATTTATGCCTTTTTATATTGTCTTTTGCTTAACACTTTTTAGTAGTTTGAAGTGGTTACTACTGATTGTGCACTGTCATACTGAACAGCTGCATGAGTACTTTTGTGAAAAGTTCTAGAATTGTGAAGTTCTTCTTTTGGGAAAATAAATTTTTATCAAGCTATCAATGGTTCTGTATGCATTCAATCCATTATGAACTCATACGCACCTAACAATTTTTGCTGTCAGAACCGGGGTTGAATACCAGTGACAAGAGTGAAATATGAGCAACTAAGACAGCTGGTGACATTGCTGCATTCCAAGAACAGATGGAAGGAGCCATAAACGTCATTAAAGAATAGATGGATGTGGGCCAAAAGTTCATTAAAGAAGAGATGGAAGCTGGGAAATAGGCACAATTGGAGTGCCAAGTGAATTGTGGCCACAAATGTGAATTAAAATAAATATGGAATTAAATCCAGCTGGGCTGCTACTTCTTCAAAATGGTCAACGCTCTAAAGCATTAAGTATCTATGCTAAACAACAATGCTATGCTTCTACATCTAGGTGTTCTTATATCAGTGCTTAAAAAATTTCGCTCTCATGACATATATATATTAATCTATATGTATATGTAGTTTCATCTCTCTCTGCATATATATATATATATAGAGAGAGAGAGAGATGATGGTTTAGAATTGTTGATGGATGTTTATTAGGATTAATGCAATGAATAAGATTTATATTAATGAATGCATATACAAATGTTTTTCATCATGCCTAATAATAAACCCATACATTTCAGATGTTTCAATATGTAGCATTTACAAGTGAATGTATATACAAATGTTTTTCAACATGGATAATAATAAATCTATATACTTCAGATATTTCAATATGCAGTATTTACAATAAAAGTATAATTTCTAATGTACTTCTTCTAATTTAAAAAATATTTTATTAATAACATAAAAATAATAACATACAAATTTAATGAGCATTCTCATTATTACATAAGCTATGCTTTCCTTTTTATGCACCTTTTATTTTGTTTACAGTATGTCGTTGATTATGCAATACACAATTTAAATGAAAAGTAGTTAGTAAAAAAGTTAAGTTCTGCATATATAAACAGATTTAAAAAAATTAATCACCTTACAATTAGTAAAAAAATTCTATTACTATATAATAATGATAATATTTCTACAACAGCACATGATGGCTCAATATGAAATATAACAAATTTAGCATACTTTTGGAGACGAAAAATTAGTAAAGAAAGCATCAAAATCACAAAAATGTCCTAAAATACTATCTACTCTGAAATTTCCATGATTATAAATTTAATCAGTATATAAACATTTTAAAAATGACTTAGACAGTTATATTATAAAAACACAGCATACAAATATACATTTTTTCATGTTTCTTCAATAAAATCGGCTTCCATTTCTATCATCCGTGACGCCAAACTACACACATAGCCATACTAGAAATTACCCACGATCCTTCAGAAGCAGAATTGATTGGTTGATCTCTCCGCAGTACAAAGCTACAAGCGAAACATTTTCAGCAAAGCTTAGCCATTGTTTCCACGGCTAGATGGAACATCACCTCCAGTCATGCTAGTTTCTCTCAGAACCCTCCTGTTTAAACCAATGCTACTAGAATCTCATTTTTTTGGAAATGTCCAACCTAGCCGCATGTGCCACTAGACGTGATAACCTCTTTATAACTGACAAGAATGATCTATTTTTTCAGACAACATTATCTAAATTTAAGTTACATTCAGATGATAAAAAACCAGTTTTCATTAAAATTAGTCTAATATAAAAGTTTCTGGTACTGCAAGTACCAGAAAAGTACTGTAAAGTACTGCTGATTTTTCAAAAAAATTATTAGTGCCAAAAACAATAAACATCTTAATCTAAATTTGGTATAAAAGACCAGAGAGAAAATTTCATTTTAAATACACAAAGTCATTTTGAAAAGGAACACTAATTTCAAACATTATAAACAAGTACCTCTTTTCTAAAATACAGTTTTTTAAATTACAAATTTTTTAGAGATTTAAAATACCAGTATACACCGATTATGTTAGACAAGTTTCTTAAATCATAAGGAGCCACAAGTTACAGGACATTTAACACCAAGTTGCAAGCAAAAGAAATATTTCTAAAATCATTTAGTCATTCTGTTTAAGTTATACTTACTTTTGCAGTATCATCATACATGAAGCGTGTTAGAGGATTACAAAGAGTTCTCCAAACCACATTCTGAGGTGAAGCTATAATCCCTTTACACAAGTAGCTAGAAAAAAATGTAACTCAAATGTAATAAATAGTACACTTATAGCATAATATAAAACAGCCCTTCTACATACAAAATTAATATTCAGATTAATGCAACAGAATATGAAAGGGAATGCTGGGACATGAAGGTATTAATTGTTCAATGTGTACTTGAAAAGCTTGTATTAATACTGCAAAGTATAATAAAAAGTATGATGTTAACTAAATATCAATGAATAGTTTGCAGAGAATCATGAGACATATAGTGCACACCTTTTTTAAGTTGGTGAAAAAAAGACATTCAATTACTATCTAAATAATCTAAGTACTGTATCATTGTATTTAATAAATCAACTGATTATATCAATAGCATTCAACAATTCAATAACTTGTGCCATTTTGGATACCAATATACATGAATAAATCAGAGTTCAATTAGTCAAGGAGAAAAACAAATGCATCCTTATATGATAGAAATTATCAATACATTTCACCATTCAAAATTTTTAAGAACATTTACATAAATACTGTTACAGACAACATTAATCATGTTAAGATTTCGATGCAAATTTTTCTGATAGTGACTTCGGCATTTGTTTTTCAAAGCAGATTTTACACAGAACTAAGGTTTTCTTTCTTTCTTTAAAAATACTTTGGGGGGGATTGAAAGGTTTCAGATTTTAAATTAAGTCCAAGAATTCTCTTTTTTAATGTTTTGTGTGTTACCTTTATTTATTAAATATCATGTTCTTTGCACTTAAACCGTAAAATTCAGTTCAACAGCAATATTGCAAAATAAATTTAAAATGAGCTTATCTTGAGAATTTCCCATAGACAGTTCAGTGCGCTGGAGATAAAAAGTTCTAAAAGACTATCGTGCTAAATTGGCAAGAGATTGCCAAGCTGGTGGCGGTTTTGGAGATTAATTTTTGTCACAGATTTGACAAGAAATTGCCAATCTTGGTGACATTTTGGTCATATAACTGTAACCATGACTGCAATTAAATGAATATAACTAATCTATATGTGTACTTTAACAGTATCCAGCCCTCATATGTCATACAGTAATTTCGAGAAGTGGAAGGTACTAGAGATTTCTCAGCATTCGGGGGGAAATTATACAAGAGTAGGAACAGCATCAATTTCTCAGTAGCACTTGTTTAGTTCAGCATGAGTTCAGAGTATTGAGATATCTGCGTAGAAGCTTTGCCCTTTCAGATGTGCTTTGTGTTTAATGTTCTTAGCAGTTTGAAGTGTAATTTCTGATTGTGCTCTGGGATACTGTGAAGAACTGTATAAGTATTTTTGTAGGAAGTTCCAGAACTGTAAAGTGTTTATTTTGGTAAAATAAATTTTATCAAGCTATCATAATTTCTGTGTGCATTTAATATATTGCAAAACTGTATGCAAGTAACAATATATTAGTATTTGATTACATATTCTAAATTTTATATTCTTTGACCAATTTCATTTTGTAATTTTTTTCAAGTACAGAAGAACAGCTTTAATTTATCAAAGTACTTTTAAGCATGATGGAAATAAATGAATAAACTTAGTATTGTACCATAAATTGATGTAAAATAAAATTGTTGACTAAAGATTAGTTGAATCTTCATATAAAGTTCTACAAATGTCTATAGCACACTAGGAGAATTCAGATCAAATAAAATTGAATAAGAAAAATTATGAAGATCACTAGAGAGATGTAAGGGGATGAAATTTGCATAATTTAAGTTTCATTAACTGAATAAATTTTGCTTATTGCTGAAGAGTACTTTCATTAAATAAAGGTTAAAAATTAAAAACTAGAGATTATATGTGATGAAAAACTTTGAGAGCTAGCAACTATACTATAGGACAAGTTAAAAATGAATGCCCCAATTTCATATGTGCGCTACGTACAATGTAATAAATGTATTCATTAAAAATGTGCATACAGGTATAATAAGGTAACATAAGCATGTTTTGAGTGTATTCCTCACAGATGTTCGATATATGCTCCTATTGTTCTATGGCATGCATCAAGTCTGAAATATAATTCTTGACAAACTTTATGCAGCATTTCTGTATCTATGCTGGCAATAGCAGCCATAATATGAGCTTTCAAAGCAGTCATGCTTGTTGGACCTGCTTGTACATACATGCAATCTTTTACAAACCACCACAGGAAAAAATCGCATGGGGTGATTTCTGGGGATCATGGCAGCCAAGGCAAAAGTGCATTGTCTGCAGTAGATACAGGATCAATCAACCATTGTGGTAACATTTTATTGAGGTAGCTCTGCATTTCAATCATAAAATGTGGTGTACCATCCTGCTGCAGAACAGAACTAGGCATATCTTCTGTAGCTGTGGTTCCTCTAAGAGTGGTTTCAGAAAAAAGTACAAACTGTAAATAGTTTAATAAGATACTACACAAAACACATTAACCTTAGAAGTATTGCACTGGTGCATGTGGATGTTCAGTATACCCAATTCTCATGTTATGCATATTTACTAATCCATAAATGTAAAATGTTGATTCATCACTGAATACTAACTTTTTTGAAAATTTATCGTACTCCATGCATGCCAGCCTACATGATAGCTAATATAAATATAAACACTATTTATAAAATTGTAATGAAAAATCTTGGGGGCGTGTGGGAGGAAACATTGTTCTGATTTTATTTCTTATGTATTGAATACAGAACAGAGAAAACATCAAGTTTCTGCAATCATTATTTGATCCAAATGGCAGATCCAAATGGCAGATTTTTCAAACAAATCATGACTTAAGATAAAATAAATAAATAAATAAATAATAATAATAATAATAATAAAACTGGTGCTGAGACAAACCAACAATTATCTGCTAGGACTGGGGAAGGGTTATTGGCCATAGAAAATTTGGTTTAAAAAATTTTGAGTAAAGAATGTGCTACTGAACTTTTTTGACTGGAAAAGGACAATTCACAAGGACAGCTCCTGCAGGACAGTCAGAGAATCCCATATTTTGTAAAGATGTAAAGAATTCAGCATGTTAGGCCTAAAAAAGGTTCAATCATATAAAACTGCTTTTTGCTGAATGACAATATGCGGTCACAGCATTGTATTCTGATGAAAATATTTCTAAGAAAGCAAAATGTCATAATTCTCAACCACTCCTACTCTTTTCCAGATTTGGATCTATAAACTATTTTTTTTCCCTTTAAAATGAAGTTTCATCTCAAAAGTGATTGTTTTAATAGCACTGAAGAGATTCAGAAAACTATAACATAGATTTAAACAGCATTCCAAAAGATGAAACAAAAAATTCAAAAAGTTCATTTTTGTGTCATATATAGTTGGACTTTCCAATGCCATATTTCTCGCATAATTTTGAGACGGATAGGCCTTTATTCATTTTTTGCAGCAATTCTACTTTTTGTTTAATGGACATCAAAACATGCTTTCGCTTTGTAGATCCTTTGACAGCTCCAGAATTGGAAACTCTTTTTGACATAATTGAAAATTCAAGCTTAATTTTTATAAAATTGCTCTAACAGTCTGCAAAAAATAATAAGCCGGATCCAATTAGAAGATTAAGGAACAGCGCAATCTGCAACATTAACTGAAATACCTTAGATAATTTTAGCCTAGCTTATATTGTCCGTTATACTTTGTACTGTATTGACTTTACCTTAATACATTCTTTTGGAAATAATACCTATCTTATATATTTTTTCCCCTATATCTTAAATTAGGAAAATGCATTTACATAGTTTTACTTCAATTATTTATTACAGTAAATTTTTTATGCTTAAATTTATTACAGTAAAGGATTTAATTACCTTTTGTGTAGATTATATTTAACTACCTAATATATAAATCATTTCCTCCCTTGTAAAAATGCCTATAAATTCACAGTTTTTTGTATGTTAACACCTTCAATAGTTAGGCAAATGCATGTTTGTACAATTCTCTCTCACATAAAGAGATATTTGAAATTAATATACCTCATGACAACACAAGAATCAAAGGATGTGATCTTCTTAAAAACAGAAATGTCTTTATTTGTTTCCTTGTACCTGGAAAATAATAAATGGAATTAAAAAAAATTACAACAAAATACATCAACCCAAAACAGTAAAACACATGATGTGAATTACAGTTTTAATAAATATTTGATTTGAGTTTGGATTAAAATTCTGCTTCGTAAACCTTTAAATAATTAGCAAAAGAAGCAGCTAATTTAATATATAACATAATAAATAAGAAACACATTGATATGATGGTTATGAATAAAAAAATAAGTTATACTGATAAATGCAATTCAATTTTTTTTTTAGTGTTGATTCTTTGTTTACAATTCACTTATCTGGGTATTTTTTATAGCAACATAACATTTATGAAGGTATAAATTCATCAAGGAATTATAGCAAATGATTAATAGGAAAAAATATTATCTATCATATGACTGCATTCCCTTCACTGTGTTTAACTAGATTCAACCAGACATGAGGAATCCTTTTCAGTTTGGGGCCAAATTATCATTCTGTGTCTGAGCTAAAGGCCACACCAAATTATTAAATAAAATAAATTAAATGAAGTAAAACAAGTTGCCATTTAATATTTTATTTACACTTTTTTGCAAAAAAATTGAAGCACCATGAAGGAAGTGGTATTTTGGATGAAACTGAATATATGGAAGTTGAATATCTCATACACAGATAATAAAATGATTTAAAAAATCAAGGTCATAGTACCTGTTCATGGTTCTCAATCACCCATTCAGTGTTCAAATTAGTAGTTCGTCGAACTGCCCCTGGCGGCAATGCGTGCTTAAATTCATCGAAGCAAGGAGTGGTAGAGGTTCCTAATGTCATCCTATGACACATTCTGCCAGGCATTCATCAGCTGTCGCTCCAGATCTGCAATATTTTGTGGTGCCTGAATCTGGTGGCCTACCATGTCCTAAACATGCTCGATTGGTGAAAGGTCTGGTGACCTTGCTGACCAAGAAAGAGTATCAAGCACATGGAGACAGTCCAGAGATATGCGAGCGGTATGTAGCCGGGCATTATCTTGTTAGAAAATTGCCCCAGGATGATGTGCCATGAAAGATAATGCAACCGGCCGCAGGATGATATCAACATATCGTTGAGGTGTTAAAGATGTATGGAGGATGATTTAAAGATGGCCTGCTGTCATAAGAAATAGCACCCCACACCATGACGCCAAGGGTTATGGCTATATGCCTTTGTAAAACAAAGGCTGATTGGGACCGCTTGCTCCATCCTCTCCAGACACGAACACGGTGGTCATCTGCTTCAAGAGTAAAGTGGGATTTATCGCTGAACACTATACGATGCCAGTCTAATAGCAGCCATGATGATCGGCTGCAACACCACTCCAGATGATTTCGCCGATGTTGTGGGGTCAAAGGCAAACATCTTAAAGGCCTCTGTGAACGTAACACCACCTCAGACAAGTGCTGTGAGATGGTGGATGGTACCACGGGAGGTATAGATGTGGCTGTAGTGTGTTGAATAGTCGACAATGATACCGTTGGGGGTGGTTCGGGCCTGGCAATCAATCATCCTATCTTGCCTCGCACTTATGCCCCTTGGCCTTCCAGAGCGTTTATTTCATCGGCAATTTCCTTGTAGTAACCATTGCTGCCATCATCTTTGCACAGCAGTGTCTGTACGCTGCAGGTGGCGGCCTATTGCTCGGTAATGACCACCCAGCTTCATGCAACCCTACAATGTGACCCTGTTCGAAGTTGTTTAGTTATCTTTAAGGTCTTTGATATCGTTGTAATGGCATCTTTAGTTGCTTCTATATGGAATTACAAAGATAAATTTTCTTCCTTTGTTACTGGTTTTATACTTTGCGAATTGCACACTAGAAATGTGCGCTATGATTGCAATTTCTGTTCATTTGCCTTGAAACTTTGATAATTTGCATGTTCAATCAAGATGTTTTTGCATAGCAAATTTTGTCACAATCGCAAAATTCCTTTTTGGTGCTTCAAATTTTTTTTGCAAAAGAGTGCATCTATAATATAACGCTTTAATATAAAGTTTTGCATACATTTTAAATATAATAAATAATATAACAATTTAATGGCCTTTAACTTGAACTAAGACACTATGAATACTGACATTATTGTTTAAGATAATAATCACATGGAATTTTCAAGGTTTCTGTTCATTATTCTTGTCCAAATTTTTGATTTGTTGCAATTCATCCTCAAAAAAGAAACTGGTCACACATACATGTGCTGCTAAAGAGGCAAATGGTTTTTCTTGACAATGCATGTAAATTCATAATTTGCCTTTTTTCAAATAAACTTTATTAAATTCTATCACAGCAATTGTATTGAACTGTGAATTTAGTACTAAATCTATTTGGAGCTCAGCAACTTCTATCAGTAAGTTTTCTGGAGTTTTATTTAAATCAGCAGCAATTAGATGAGCAAATATAGCATATATGGATTACTACCTTCGGTTCATCTCTATGACAATTATAAGAGTTTTATGAGCTGCAGAATAGGAAAATATACTTTTTAGCACTTATCTGACTTTCCAGCATTCTTAATTTATTATAAAAAGCTTTAACATATCCATGAAGTTCATGAACCTCTTGTCTAAGTTTTCTGGTGACATCAAAAAGAAATGCTAAATTACATAACGATTTATCATGTTTCACTTGGTTAATTGTGTTTTCTTTTATATCCATAAAATCTGGAATGTCTCGTTTCATATCATAAAGCCATTTTAATATTTTACCTTTACTTAACCACTCCGCTTCACAACATTAAGGTATACCTTCATAATCTGAAAATATATTTGCAAATACTCCTCAAATTGGTTGCGATTGTGCATGTGATTTAATAACTTCAATACTGGCTATTACAACTTCAAAAACACTTTTTAATTTCATTGATTTGGCATCCAGATTTTGCTGGTGGATAAATGAATGAAAATTTGTTATATTTCCCAGATGAATTTATAGTTCCTTCCTCTTTTATGAGGTATTCCAGTAAATTCCTTCCATGTACCAACCATTGAAACTGCTTCCATTTAGGACCAATTCTCTTGGAAGATTTTTTTCTAAATCTTACCAGTAATTTCTCCTTATGGCAAAAGTGCTGTTGAAATGTGATGATGAAATAAACATCATATGTGATGTTGTGATGTTGTGTGATCTGTGACACACAACATCTGTGATGTTGAAATAAACATCAGTTCTGCAAATAAATATTGATAATTGCACCCTACTGCAAGCATAGAGTGCTGTCATCCAAAGCAATTGAAAATATTTTCAGTTATTTCTTTTAATTCTTTTTATTATATTACCCATTAAACAATGACACATCTCACCAAACATTCTCAAAGTCTTTTTTTCGTTTGCAGATACATTACACTTACAACATCAAGTATACATCTTGTAATAAATTGTCCTTCAAAAATGATTTAGAATGCTTGATGATTTTTTTCACTTATCACAATGCTGGTTACTGAACATTTGTTGCTGAGAATTCAAGCTTTTCTTTAACATCTGTATTTCATCTTTTCATAATTGTCTATCAATTTTTAGGTATTCATATGCCTCAAATGAAAATTGCATTCTTTGCTGATTAATATGGATTCACTGTGTAGCAAAATATGCAGGCAAACTTTTATTCAGAATAAAATAATAATTTTCCATTCAGATACCTTGAATTTAACAATTCTCTACATCAATCTTTTTTTTCATAATCTCTGACACTGTCCCAAATTTAAGAAATATTTAAGACTATTAAAAAAAAAAAACTGTCTTCTAGACCACAGATACTGAAAAGAACACAACACTAAGATAGGTACTTGACAGAATACAACATCAGCTCAGGAACTGAACATAATACAATACTAAAATAACACGTTAGAATACATTCATATACATTAAGTTAATAGCACAACAACTTTGAGCTTGGCGTAGATTTATGTCAAGATCTTGGAGATCTTCTACAGAAATCTATGCCAAGCTCAAGGTTGTTGTGTGCTTATTTTCACTTGTTTTTATGTTTCATTTGGCATGTTTCTTTTCTGTTTTCGTTCATATATGCTGTTAGTCAAACTGAGAAAGTGATTCTGGGGGATAACAGGGTCACATGACATTTCTTAACATGTCTTTATGCAAGCCATATGACATCATTTTAATGTGAATTAGAAGAATACACTATGTTTTCATCAACCATGAATCAGAAAAACTTGAATAAAACAGATTAGGGCCTGGTAAAAAGAAGTAGAGGGCCAGATCTAGCTAATGACAAGTGAACAAAACTTTAGAGGGTCAATATTCATCACAAAATATATGGTTGGCATGCAAGCGGTGAGAAGTTAAAGTGTAGTTTTCCACTGTCACATTTAGAATCAACACAAGAATGAGAGGAAACATTTTAATAACAGGAATGTTATTGATGTACACACTCAACTAATTTTATTTATTTATTTATTTATTTATTTTTTATTTTTAAATTTTGCCCCCTAAGTTACAATTTTTTAAACTGAAACTGGCAGTAGAATAACAAAAAAACTTTATTTTTGATTTGTAAGTTGATACTGCCAATCAGATTTAAATATTCATTAGAATATTTTTTAGACATCACTCATGATATTTTTTTGACACTTTATATAATGAAAGCTGAATTTACTTGCTATGTTCAGTTCATTTTAAATTTTTTTCCTGTTGAATTTATATCTTGTTTATGTAGAAAAAAATAATCAATATTTTTTGGAAGGGGTGGGAAGAACCAAAAGTAAAAAGAGTTAAACCAATCATACTTTCAGAACAACACACTGCAGAGAATTAGCCATAACATTGTCTAAACAGGAGACTATTTATTATTAAATAACATTAAACTGCTGCATATTTTAATGACTTACATATCATGTTACCTGGCCATTAGTTTAAAAAATTTATGACCAGTAAGCAGAACATGTGGCACAAGCAGTGAAAAGTTTAACACATCACATACTCAGATACTAAAATTGCAAAATTTACAGAATGTGTAGCTAATTAGTTTGTTTCTTGACAGATTTAAATAGGACTGTTGCACTGATTCTCCTAAAATAAATCATTTTGATATAAAAAATAACATATTTTATAATAACAGTCTTAAAAATGTTCAGTTGAATGAAGTGGGGAAAATTCTTAATGCTCTGAAACGTTGTTCAAAAGGTTACAAAATTGATTTTTGGTATTTTTCTCTTTACTGCTCATCCACTCTCTGCAATGTTTATAATATTACCCATAAGACTACCATATCATTATTGTTATGTTTTATAATTACAAAACATTGATAAAAATGTTACCACTTTGGTGACGCAATTATATTTACACACAGATTTTTCAGGAAGGAAACAACTCAAATATTTTAAATATATACTTACATCCATCCACCACTTATTCTTTTCTGATCATCTTCTGTAGCATCAACATCAATTAGTGATGTTCGAAGATTCTAAAAAAATAAACATACAAATTACAATCACAGCACAAAATAAACAGATTTTTACTATAAATTGGCTGTCATTCCTAAAATATAGGGAAAAGTTATTTTCATAATAATAAATTTTTTATAAGTTTAGAGAGTTCAGAAAGAATATCATGAATAACTAAAAACTGAAACTTGCAAGCCCTCTGATAGTTGAAATTAAGCAAAAATAACTTTGATACACCACCAAGAAAACCAAGATGTAACAATAATACCCAATTAAACTTGTTTTGATGATATATTTCTGTCTCTAAAATAAATCATTGATCTACCGTCAACAGGTTTTTTTCCCCTTTCTCTACCTTCTCTTACTTTACTTTTAATGTCTTCCTTTCCACATAACATGCACACAAACTTCATGTTAATGGTTTAAACACTGTTCCACATTTCGTTTTCCTTGCACTTTCAACACAGAAAAGAGTAGATTAAAATATAGATTATCACAAGAAAAGGACTGATTTAATACATCTGAAAAAATGCTTCATTTCTAGAAAATGGTAAATAGTTTTTAAAACACTAAATAAAATGGTACATAGTTTTTTTTAAAAGTTTTTTAGAACAGATTAATTTCACAATTTAAGAATGTTGAGTTTGATTTCACCTGGTAATACCTGCATTTTATCACTCTTCACTGCAGCTTAGTCGACTACACGAAGGAACAGTTAATGTGAAAATTCATTACAAGAATAATGAGTGTTAAGTACATACTATTAGGAAGCTTCATGCAATCTCTGGATGTAAAGAACACCTATGACATGTTGTGTGCATAGTACCGATGGTGCATACAGCCATATCCACAACCGTAACACAACGAATGCAGTCTGTAACATAGCAACTGATGTCTGTATGAACAATGTGACACCTTTTACAGTTAAATAGACTGTCTGCTACAGCTTTTCGGACATATCACACTTCTGCCTGTAGTACTACAATGGTTGGATTAAGAGTTTGGAGACACTGTGGAGAAAGGCTGCTTGACTATGTTATGCATCATCATACTGGAACTGCACCCAATATAATGGTGTGGGCTGGTATTGGATTCCAATCCTGAACTCCCAGTACATATTATCAATACATTTACCAGCCAATGCTATATCTCTGAGGTTTTGCAGCCTATTCTCCTTCTTTTCCTTCAGAGCTTGTCTGCAGCCACACTTCAATAGGATAATATGCGACTACACATGAAGTTCAAGATTTCATCTTAGCCCACCATACTGTACTGTTAACCGGTCTGCCTTTTCTCCAGATCTATCACCCACCAAACATGTCTGGTGAATTACGAGGGAGATGCACTGCCATTCCCCACACAGTGGATCCAAAGCCTCTTTCACTCAGTGCTGATTTTCTCCTCTTCCTTGGATAAAAAAAAGGCTGTATTTCAGGCTGTATTTAATTAAATTTGGTTTCGATATCTCTTGTCCTTCTTCATGTTGCATTTTGGATGGCTAGCAGCGTATATTTTAAGTTGATTTAAAATCCAGAAATTTCCAAAATTGCTGAGGTCCAAATGATTACAGATCCTGGACTTTGTATTGTCTAAAAATGTATAAAATATCTCCAGCTGAGCTACAATGGTAATGAACTCTGCTTAAATTCTCTTTTAATTTCTTTAATATTGTGACACTATTGCTTCATTTCTTCATTCATTGATTTTCTTATTTGGCAGCATAAGGAATATGGCGAGAGCACACAGACAGCACCAAAAGAAACAATAATCAGGCAAGCTACAAGGTAAAAGTAGCCTTGAATCAACCATATCACATATAACCAGCAAATCAAATCTTGGCTCTGGTGAATTCTCAACTGAACAAGGGTTTCAGATGGACAGCCAGCTGAGGAACTGTGCAGTGCTTCAGCAGCCAGACTCTCAACACCATCATTTCTTAATGCATACTATTCTGTATCACAGAACACTGTGACTGAACCACTGATGACTGGAAGCAAGTATTAGGGCCTCTGAGACTTGACCTTGGCTAATGGTAGGCTAAGATGGCCCTAGCCTCATGAAGCCATGGATCCAGTATACCAGGCACGGAACTGTGTATGGTCATAGTGGCTTTGTTATGGTTTGGGGTATTTTTCCTTGCAATGATTGGGACCTTTGGTACTTGTATATGGTCATAGTGGCTTAGTTATGGTCTGGGGTATTTTTTCTTGCAATGGTTGGGACCTTTGGTACTTGTACTACGCATTCTTCCTGCATCTCAGTACATATTTATCTAGGTCATCACATATATCTTCATGCTTTTCTGCCATCCAAATGACAATGAAGTGTAGCAGCAGGATAATTGCTTCTATCAAAGATACCAGCTGGCTACCACATGGTTTGAGAAGCAATCCACTTGAATTCTCTCACTTGAAATAGCGATCAAAATGGCTACCATATAGGAAAAAGCAATGTGCGTTTTGTGGTTCCATAAATGTAAATCCACTGTAACTGTTCAGAGACTTTTTTTAGAAAACTAAAATCTAAAATCATCATCTTCCAAGTAAGGACTCTATTAAATGCTGGTGCCAACAATTTAAAAGGCTTGCGAAATGTGGAACATAGGAAAGGTACTGGTAGACCATTGATGTCAAATGAGGATGTTGATTGCACGAGGGAAGCTTTTATGAGGAACCCTACTATATCGAACCATTCCTATACTAAGCAGCTTTCCTACTAGTCACCATTGCAAAAATCCGACTGCTTTCCTGCTAGTCACCACTGCAGAAATCACTAAAATGGTATAAAAAAATTGTGCTTCAAGATTTGAATGCTGCAATTTAACTCCAATGGTTTGTATACCAAAGTGGAAAGCAACCTTAGATCTAGTTTCAAAAAGAAATAGTATGCCTGTTACTAGATTCTAGAGAATGCAAGGATACAGTTCCCTGAAATTATTTCACGCACCGTAAGTCTTCAGATATGTCATGAATAGAAGGACAACTTTACATGGACACAATATGTGCAGCATTAAACTAAAGCAACACATGTGTGATGGAACATGGAACTCTTTCATGTGTAATTTCCACCAAATTCAACAAGAAATATGGTATCTGTGCAAAACATGTGTATCATAGCCTGCATTATGTATTAAGTCTTGCTTTGAAAAATATCATAGTTTGATACGATTTATTATTTTTTATTTTAAGTTCATATACACAAGTAAGTTTTAAATCATTACAGAAAATATTATAAATTATTATTTTTAAAAGTAAAATAAACTAATTTTAATGAAATTTTACAGTAGCGCTAAAGGGGAATTGTAAGGACAAGGTTTAGGACAAGGGGATGCCATTACCATGATGAATGTGACCATGTGAAAAATCCTATTAAGGTATATAATACTATCTCTCAGATATCGCTACAAAACCATGTTCACGAGGGGTTAAAAAATTCTGAGAACTTTAATAATATAATGTTGAAGGATAATGTTGAAAATATTATAAAAATAGTTCTGAACAGCAAAAAGTTTCAAAAGTAAGAAACTAATACTGTTATAATTTTGTAAACTCAAAATTATTAACAATTGATGTATTCTACTACATGATGATCAATATTTTTATAAATCCAGACAGAGATATACATATGTATATACAGAAATAAAACAAATCAAAATGACAAGCAGAAGACAAAGACTATATCAAAGAGAAATTTAAATATTTTTGCATAACATTCCCATCAAATGAAGCATAAGTAAATATAGAGAATGTTCATGGTAATACCAATTTATGACACATGACATGAATAAATTAAAGGAGAAAAGCATGATTTTATGATCACACATGTACCACCTTGTTTTACGTTTTGAGATGCTTGAAAAGGTAGATATTTAATGAAACTTTTAGGTTGCATAACAAATAATTGAAATAATTTATTTAAACTTAGCTGCTATTGCAGCCTTTACCAATAGCAAAATCTTTTCATGAGTTTCTGGAAAGTTATTTCAGAATCTGACACTATTTCTTTTTTAAAGCAGCCAACTGATTATGTACTGATTTTGAATAAACTCGTTGGGCTCATATTACTCATCTCATAGGAATTCAGTTAGATTAAAATCTGAGAAGGTTAGTTTAGTTCTCCCATACCAGCAATTCCTTCATAGACATTGATTTATGAATGAGACAAATACATGTCGGTAAACATATGCATTTATCCCAATAATTTCCTCAACATGCTGAAAAACACAGCAAAGAATTATTGACAATGTCTAAGCAGAAATGAAAAATCTATCAAGCATGATTTTAAGTATCAATCTAATACTGAATTAAAACAAGGATAATTTTTTTAATTTTATTTTTACATGAAAGCTTGGGCTTTCAACTACTTTTCAACATAACTTCCATCTACATCCATTTATCACATTGTACAACCAGCTTTTGAACCCCACCTTCATTTGAATCTGCCCTCTGATTTGACTGTCATTGATTTGATTGACTGTTCGGTATCCAGCAAGAGCACAACTTTTGATAAAAAAAAGCATTCTGTCATTATTTCATGTAAAAGAAATCTTGAAACTTAAGGAAACTTCATAGATATTGATGAAATTATAAAGCATGATGACCTGTTGCAGATGGTTTGGTTGGTTTAATTATGGCAAAATACTCAAGGGCTATCTGCGTGATGGGAGGGATGTCTTTGTTGAAGGCTTTCTAAGGGAAACTCACATACATGGGAAAAACTACAGAAATAGCATGCAGACAACCTATTTGCCAGGATTTGAGCCCTGGACTGACCATTGTTCAGTGACTTTACTGCTCAACTGCTGTTGGGTCCTGACTTGGTGCATAAAGCTGATAAAAAAGTTCAAGAAAGCAGATACTTAACAATTTCATCATTATCTAATGATGTTCCTTAGTCTCAAGAACTCTGTATGAAAGAATTCAAGAACTTTGTATGAAAATGTAACAGAACATTTAAATCACAAGAAGTTGAGCTCACACCGAGTACCAAGAATGGTTATCAAATCAGGTTCAGATTTCTATGGAGATGGTATTCAGATGCAGGTCATATAACAGGATAAAAGCTTTAATATAAGTGGAAATTGTATTAAAAAAATAAAAAGTAAATTAAGACCCAAGCTTTTACATAAAAAAATGTTGTCCTTGTGTTTATATTGCATCAGAATGGTATTTATATAAAAAACATGCCTCGTACAGCTCACTCTGCAAGAAACAATCCTGCACATTCCAATAATAATAAAGGCTTTATATGGTCCCAGACATAATGTTTCACAACTGATATAATATATGAGTAATGGTAATTTAACATTTACCAGATAGTTTTCACACCTTCAATAGGTCATTAGATTGTAATTGTAATATCAATATCACTGTAACCTGTGTAGTATAATTTTTAGTTTTTGACTTTTAAATAACTTCTCACCCATAGCATTGCATATATTTTAATTCATATCAAACAATACTGTATTATTAGTGGATCCTATATACACCAGCAGCAAGAGCTAACTGATCTTTCAAATGGCTGTCTGCAATATTTACTAATCTGTATTGATTAGTTTTTAGCCGACTCATAGTTATTATTTTACATTTATCGCAACTTTATTTACAATACACTTTTACAGGTTCAACAAGACCAGAATCTCTCAAACTAACCACAACCTGAAAAAATTAGTGAAAATTAATTAAACTGTAATGCATGCATAAAAAATGTTTACAAATATATACCTCTTGAAGGACAGTTGAAATTGAGTACTCTCCCAATGCTTTGAAATCCATACTTTCATCTATAAATCAAAATATATATGAGCATTCTTTCATCTAAATATAATATTTTAAAGACTCATATTTAATTACTAGTAATAAATTATTCATTCAATGCATTAAATATTAGTAAGCACACATGCATGAAAAAATGCTTATTAATCTCACTAAGTGTAGATCTTAAGAATTGAAATGACTTTCCACAAAAAGAAAAACATAATTAAGCAAATACCAGTCATTACAAAAAAAGATTCATTTGAACAGATTAAAAAAAAAGGGGGGGATTATTTTCTGATTATCTACACCTCACTGAAAAATCCCAAAAAGTACTTATGACTCAAAGCAGTACGCTACAAAATGGTTACATGGAGTCATAGTTATGTTCAATAGTTATGCTATATCACCAAAAAGTACTTATATGGCAACCCAAGTTTACATGTAATAGAACATGTCTATTTTTGGTGCCCAATGCCAAAATTCTACAGTACCAAGCTCATGTTTTTTAAGTGAAAAGAAATCTCCTATATATGAAGAGAACAGTGCAGATTATTTTTTTGAGAAAAGTTTTAGTACTGATGTTTTTTACTCTTTATATTTTACTCATTGATTGCTCTTGTTTTTCAGTGCACCGTTATTTAAAAAATGGCAGCTACATTTTTGCATTAGCTTGGAAAAAAATTAATTGCCAATAAGTTTCCAAATGCTCTCCAAAGTCAGTAATGAGTTTGAGACTTTTCATATGATGGCATGGATAATCAGAAAGTATAAAAAAATCTTATTAAATATAAAAGCAAAAATTAAAAAATTCTTAAAATAATAACCTTACACTAATAATCTATCTGATATAACGCGAGATTGCTAACAATTTCAAAAGCAAAATTCTAAATAAATTGAATAGCCAAATATGTAAAGTTTGCTGGAATTAAATATACTGGATAGTTTATTTAAATTTATATGTAAATATTTATACTTGACACATTTTTTTAAAATCCTAATGTTTGATACAATTGATAATCAATTCCATTTTTACGATTATTATATCAAATTTGTATATATTTCTTAGTTAGCTCCTTTTAGATTATTAGCATGTAAGAAATTTATATGCAATTATATTTTTAATTTGTAATACAGACTAAAGTTTTATACAATGTAATAACCATTATGCATGCCAGTTTCTGATTAAAACTGTAAAAATCTGGAAAGAGAATAATAAAATTGACATAAATGTCTGAAAATAAAACTTCCAGGGTACAAAATACTTAAAAACTTTTAGTCACTACATACAAAGAACCTCGCAAAAATGAAAAAGGTAAAAAACCTGGTTTTACTGCAGTAGCTGAAAATAATTAATTGTTAAATCACAATATATATAAGAACATACTGAATAAAATTTAAAAAATTAATTTTAATTTAGTCTAACATATTGATTTAACTAATTTCACAACTTCATGAAGAATGAAAATTACCTTGTTTTAGCATGATAATCACTTTCAAAACATTTTAAAATGATTAAGATTCAATTACTTATTTGATTTATTGTGGTTAGCCACTTAAAAGACATTTTGAAAGAGAAAAAAAAAAAAAAAAAAAAACTTACCATATTGCTCATTTTAAAAATTTATTTATTATCTTTTTCATAACATCATAACTTATAAAAGACATACGAAATAAGTTTCTTCATTATTAATTTGACCATTCTGTTTCTTCCTTATAGTATTTAATTTCAAGTTTTGCAAAGTCTACCACATTTTTGCAGTTTCTATCAGTTATGCAAGTACTTTGTTTCTAACATTTAAGTCAATCTTTTTAAGGCAAAAATAATTCACAGTTAAAATTGCAATTATTAATTAATAATATTATTCTTACTTTTATTTAAATCTCAACCTAAACATGCCAAGCAGCGTCTTTCACTCTACCAATTTATAAGATAACAATGAAGATGACATGTTATTCTGCTAGTACTATTAAATTACTTTTTCTAATAAAATCTGCAGTTGCTTTTCTGTTAAGTGATTAGCAGATATGGTTGTTGTGCTGAAGAACTTAAGTTTCAATCTCGAATAAAGTTTGCAAACTTGTGATCATTCTGTTTATATAGAATAGAAGCTCAAATGGTATACTAGACCTAAAATCGTCTACCTTGATTCATCACAGAAGAAAACGATTTCAGTCTTGGATATTATGTCCCAAAAAAACATACCATGTGTATTGCAGGAAAATCACTCTGTAATCAAAATACTTACTGGACTAAAATGAACAAAAATTATATTTATTTCCACTCATGTATCTTAATGCAAAATGTGACAAAAAACATAAATGGTAGTGGAATGCAGTGCAAATGGAACTAAAAAAAATATAACACAATAAATAATAATGGCAAATGAAAAGTTCATTCTTAATATTTTTTGTAAATTTACTTTTAAACATATAGCATTAACTCTTGCCCTTTACATACTATCTGATCCCTATGAACTACTATTCATTATTCGAAACAGTTTTGAAATGAAATCTAGTTTGTTAAATTTTTTTTTTCAAACTGGTAATTTGAAGCCTTACTTTTAAATGGAATTTGAATGCAGTTTTTTCATCTGCTGATAGGCAACTTTGGTTGATATCTATTTAAATATCTGTTGCAAGAGGCCTCACTCATATTTTCATCTTTATATGAAGCATATGATGACAATTGGCAACATCAAAGGGAAAATGATTATCTTCAATAAGATATCTAAACTTTCAATAAAATTAAACCCACATTCTCTTTTAGGTTAGTAAGTATGCTGTAGCTGTACCATCAAAACCAGGAGCTAGTTGCTACTTATAATTACTGGAATGTTCATCATTCTGGTGTATGAGGCTATTTATTTTTAAAATTTTTATGTTCTAAACATTTTAAAATTAGCAATTAATAAAGAACATTTTTTCAAATTAAAAATTTTTAAAAGCATTTCATTTATAAAATTTTAAGGTAAAATTAAAACTTTGGTTTACCGATAGATATAAAATTAGAAATTATTTATTATTTACATATTATGCTATTCTTTACATATCACATTTCAAAGATTACGTTTTGTAACCTCATGCTTTCTGACGAAATATATTAAAATAAAATACAGTACAAAGTCTGAAATCCGGACCGGTTGGGACCTCGGCGATTCCGGATTTGGAATTCTTCCGATAATAGATCATCAATTTAAATCTGGTAAGATGGCATGCAGAAATTATACAATTATAAATATAAAATCGTAATTTATGAAATAAAGAACAATTATGATGTAAAGGGTATCAAAATTTACAAAAAAAAAAAAAAAAAAAAAAAAAAAAGCTTAATATTTATTTGTTTACTTTATTTAACATTTCTTTCAATGTAAGTTGTTTAAGATGCTTCCACAAAAAATTCAAAAAGTTCCTTTTTCTTTCTTCTTGTGTGATATACAGTGGACTTTATAATACCAAACTCCTCGCATAATTTTGAGATGTATTCCAAGCAGATACTTAGCTACGGAGACAAATTATTAATCTCACAAATTTATGTTTATATGATTGTTTTTCCACAATGACATATTTTATCAAGTGCGTAAGTGAAAATCTCCACGTTTTATTATGGAAGGAAAAATCAAATGCGCATGCGTAAAGCATTAATTAAAAAAAAAAATGTTTGTAGCTTTGAAGTCCGGATTTTAGATCATTCCAGATAATGGACATCCGGATTTCGGACTTTGTACTGTAGTTTCCTTTATATTGGATATTTATTTATTAATGTATTTTCTAAATATTACACTAATAAATTGATTATGAAAATGGAATGCCATTTTAATAATAACTGAAATTCTTGCAATGACATGATTTTCTAACAACCAGGTACTGGGTCTAAAACAAATTTCAGGAAAGGGAAGCAAGAGAAACAAACAAAAAAAAAAAAAAAAAGGGGGGGGGGATTTTATATTATACCCAAAGAGGCATTTTTTTAAAAACGTTTTGTGTGTTACCTTTATATATGAAATATCATTTATTATGAAAAATCATATAGTATTGATATTATTATCAATATATAATATGATTTAAATGTTTTTCACACTTAAATCATAAAATTCAATTCAACACGACTATCACAAGATAAATTAAAAATAACAAATCTTTAGAATTTTCGATACATAGTCTCATGCGCTTCAGATAAAAATTCCTTTTTTTGTACAGTGTTGCCATTGCTCGCTTTAAAATCATCGAGTTTGTTAACAAAACATTTGTTAAGGTGTAACTAAATATGAAATAGGCAATAGAACAAATTTCAAATTCCAAGTTTGGACTTCCAGATGCCCATATTCTAGAGGAGGACAACTTATTGAAAATTTGATGTCTCTAGGTACCATTGTTTTTTGCAGTGCAAGAAATATGCATACATTCATGCAGATTCTTTATTATTTAATTTCTTTAAATATAATGCAGGGCTCTAATATTTGATGGCAACAATTTGAAAAGTGAACCGACATTTATAGTGAATCAATGCAAAATGCCAAAATGAAATTAATAGCCCTTCTGGGATAAGGCCCTTTGGGCTAAAAAAGAAAAATTCTTAAATAAAATCATAAATTAAAAATATATTACCAAGTTACTCACTGAGTTTTATTTATTTTAATTATCACCACCAGTCTCTGTTGCACTCCCTCCTGTTAACCAATTTCTTTTTGTCTTTTTAGCTTTATTATTAATCATCATTTCTTCACCCTTATGCCATATACTATACAACAGCAAAATTACACAAATTTTAGAGGCAGCACAACAACATGCTTAGAATTTCCAGCGCAAAGTTAACTGTTGCTGTATATATATATTCTAAATTCATCATTTCAATGTTCAGTTTTTCTTAGTAAAATGGCTTGCAAAACTATTTTTTTGTCTTCTTCTTATTAACATTTTGTGTGTTATGTTTATTTATTAAATATCATATTCTTCACACTTATGCCACATAAAACTGAACAGCAAAATCATAAAATATTTTAAAACAGCATATCTTTAGAATTTCTGA